TTTTTTTGTCATTTCCGTCAATTTATCGTTAGGCCGTCAGTTACGGTAGTGATGGAAGCACATTTGATTCCGTTAGTTTTAACGGAAAATTGACTGAGAGGACTCAAAGTGTTGAATTTTTGAAACATGTGGGACCAAATGTAATTTTTTGTGAACATGGGGGCCCAATATGAAATTAAAGAAAACTTGAGGGGTGAAAACTATATTTTTCCCATATATATTTACATTATTTTGTTTGTGCAGTGAAAAAAGGGCAGATTGTGAGAGTTGAGAAGGAAAAGTATCTCAATAGTGTAAATGTAAGTATAATTAATTAAAATCCTTGCAAATTAATATTCTGAGTATAGAGTTCAAATTTATTATCCAAACCGACATTGCATAGTAAATGACATTTTTACCCTTATCGAAACGTTTGTCGAATTTCTTGGACTAGTTATACGATGGGAGAAAGGGTGCATATAATACGTAATGTAATGTTAACCGATTTTAATGTAATTTTTTTTTTCAGTATCTATCGGTAGGGCATCCACCTTACTACAAGGGCCTCGACTATATATACGAAGACCGAGGCGAGGTAAATCTGGATTTCTTGTGAAGCCATAATACAATTATAGGGAAAAATACACTTTTCATCCCTTAAGTTTACATCGATTTCATATTTGGTCATCCATGTTCGCAAAAATAGATTTAGTCCCTCATGTTTGAAAAATTCTATATTTTTTGTCATTTCCGTCAATTTTTTATTAGAACCTAACGGAATCAAGCATGTGTTCATCACTGTCTTAACAAACGGACTAACAGGAAATTGACAGAAATGACCAAAAATTGTTAAATTGTTGAAAAACAAGGAACCAAATGTGTATTTTGAGAACAAGGGGGCCAAATGCGAAATCAGAGCAAACTTGAAGGACGAAAACTGTAATTTTTCCTACAATTATATATAGTTGATGGATTGAGCTAAATTAAGTATAGTATATAAGTTATTTCTAGTGACTTTTTATACCTTCATTTGTTTATATATGATTTTGTATTAGGTGCTGGACTTGCGCGTATTTGAGACGGGCGAATACGCACTTGTAAGTACACGATAATACGCACGGACAAATGCCTCCTACACCGAATAAACCAACTCTTAATTATTTATCCCTTTAATTAATAAATACTGAGAAATCAGTATATACGTATATTGTGTATAAAATGTGTGAAGTAGTATTATTGCAATGCAGATTGCATGGGTAGGAATACCAACTGCACCAGCTTGGCTTCCAACTGACATGCTTATCAAGGTAATAGAACTTTCCAGATTGTTCCTTTTTGACTAATATCTTATTTTATTTATCTTGATTAATTCATAATGCCGAATTCTGAAAAATCGCAACGGAAATTTGCAGTCGGATAAGCTCGATTACGAGAGAATATAACAAGGATGGGCAATATTATTTCAGCTCAGTCCCAACATCAGCTACAATAAAGTTGTATATTTGAGACAAGCTTATAAGCAATTCCCAGCATTGTTATTGAACTTTCTACTTTTTGCTGACAATATGTATAATGTATTTAAAATTTCAAGTACATATATAAGACCAAGCTACTGTCCTAATACCACCCGTGAGGTATGGTCAATTTACGAAAAAATTCCTTTTGTTTGGATAATTACATCTACCCCTCAACGATGATTTTTTTCTTACACCTCCAGCCTTATGGTGTCAAATTCAACATAATCATCTAGATTTCGTGGAATGTGCTCTAGTTTGTGCTCATTTTGTGTAAAAATACAGTTTCTGATGCCACAATCTGATATGTACAAACCAAAAAACACATATTACGATCATTTTGCTTCAAAATGTGGAGTTCGAATGGGATAAAATGGGTACAAAAGTGATAATATTCCATATAATCTCGAAGATTCCACTAAATTTGAAACCGCAAGGGGATGTGTAAGAAGATTTATAGTTGAGGGGTGGTTGTAATTACCCAAACAGGAAGGGGGTTTTCGTAATTTGACCATACCTCTAGGGGGTGGTTGTAATTTACCCTAAACAGATAAATAATGGGAAAAATTACGCTTTTCATCGGTCTTGTATTTGGTCCCCCGTCTTCACAAAAAACACATTCGGTCCCTCGTGTTTCAATAATTTGATATTTTTTTGTCATTTTCGTCAATTTACCGTTACTCTGTCATTTAAATTTACCGTTAATCTATCAGTTAAAAGAGTAATAGACACATGTTTGATTCCGTTAGTACCAATAAAAAATTAACAAAAATGACCAAAAATCTTAAATTATTGAAATATAAGAGACTAAATACATTTTTTGTGAACATCGAAGATCAAATGTGAAATCGATGTAAACTGAACAGACAAAAAGTGTAATTTTCCCAATAAATAATAGTTTAAAAGGAATTAAAGTGTGATTGTCACATGGAGGGGAACTTCATTTAAAAAAAAACACATAATTATCCAGGAATCATAGTCATTATTAGCAATATTAGCCCATCTATATTTACAAGAAGATCTATCTAGGGAAAAAATTAAAAAGTAATCACATATAGTAATTTATCCATCTTGCTTCACCGAATCCTACTAAATATTTTCAGAAATAAACAAAAAGAAAAAGGCAATACAGAACAATGTCGAACAAATTCTTTAATTAGCTCGTGAAATTCTCGAGAAGGGGGGTATTTCTGTAATTATATTTTTTTTACGGGCCCGACAGCTGGGTTCTAATGGGTGATCTAGCATGCGTTTGAACTCCAAAATGCGGGATTTCGGGCCATGGATCAACAGCTGTTCTTGAATTGGGCCTCAACGGAAATAAGGAGTGATCGTTGTAGTTATTATTATTATGACCGTTTTGCCCAACGGAAGCATAAGAGGGGTGCGGAGGAGAGAGAAAGAAGTTTCTGTATGCTGCTCCGTCGCTTCGTAGTGGGCTCGACGAGGGCGAAACGGGCAACGACGCAATTGTTCTTGCATTGTCCCTTCACAATAAAGAAAACAATTAATGTTTTACTCATTGAAAATGTAACGATTTAAGCAACATTATATGTTTTTATTGCATTCAGCACCGATGAGTTTACTCTAATTGTTGAAAAAAGCCACGTATTATTAATATTTGCAAATATACCCTATGATTCAATATTTTTTAGCAAATTGGTCCTAAAACATCCCCATTTAGGAGGGGGGTTGGGTGCTAAAAAACGAATCATATGGGGGTGTTTGCTAATATTAATAACATATGGGAGTTTTTAGCAATTCAATGGAACACTGAGATTATTGCATTCAGCAACCCTGTGTTTACTCTAATTGTTAAAAGACTCCCCGTGTTATTAATATTAGCAAACATCCCTCTATGATTCAATTTTGTTTAGCAAACTACCAACTAAAACATCTTCATTTAGAGAGGGGGTTGAAATATGCTAAAAAAAATGCATCATAAGGGGGGGTTTGCTAATACAAATAACATGGGGAGTTTTTTAGCAATTCGATATAACACAGGGGTACTAAATGCAATAAACTTAATTTAATAACGGTAGAATGCATATTAGTACCTCGGGCTTAATAATGTCCTCGATGCTGCTGATCTTGAAGAATCTTCGAAAGAACTGTTGCTCGTTCTATTTGACCGTAACTCCAAAGCAGTCTGCCATTAAATAAATACGAAAAAATATAAAGAGCCGACTTCTTTAGGCAAACGTCGGTAACATTTTTCTCCAATTATTTTTTTTCTTCATATTATATACGATACAAATATCTCTGACGATGAAAAACGATAAGATTTTATTTAATGAAAAGTCGAACCTTTATTTTATGAAAAAATGCAGTTATTAAATGAATTGGATTAAATAATGCAAAAAAAATTACCGGGGTGCGGCTTCCGTCAAAGGCACGAGGAAATGCTTCGCGGGTTAAATTGACGTTGGTTGCCCTCACTGTAATTTGGTTTCTAACGAAAGGGTGACTCAGCAATTGTGCTGCAGTGGGCCTAGCAGATGGTTCCCTCTGCAAACACAGCCTTATGAAACTTTTCGCATCGGCAGATAAGTGATCGGGAATCTCCGGAGCATCTTTGCTGTTACCGATTTTAAATATAGCGGCAACCTATTTAATTAAATTTAAAAAAAAAAAAAAAAAAAAAAAGAGGTTAATATTTATCATAGTTCGATTAGACGAAATTGGCGTAAATGAATTAAGTCAAAAATGTGTAACTAACTAACCCCTTCGTATTGGCTCCAAGGTGGTCTTGAAGTTGCCATTTCAAGAACCGTACATCCTAAGCTCCATATATCTACCGGAAGGCTGTATCCGTTTGTGTTCATTACAACCTGCGAGCCAAAAAAATTACATTAAAAAAAAATAAAAAATAAAAAATAAAAAAATCCCGGAAAGAATGTGTATTTAAGTTCGAGAGAGCAAACCTCAGGTGCCATCCAGTAAGGACTTCCTTTGAAGGACAGCATTGAAGAACATGAAGCAATCTGTAAAATTAAAAAAGAGTTACAAAAGAGTAGGATTTCTTAGTCTAATATATATAAAAATAAATAAACGTGTCGATTTGTTTTTCTATTAAATATTTAATTTTGTAAAATTTAAGTGATTGTTGTACTATCACTTTTGTTTTAATTTCATCATAAAAAATATATATATATAGTCTACATTTACATTTCTTAGTATACTCAAATATAGAACTACAATAGAGTGTAGAATACATACATGTTTAGCCATGCCAAAATCAGCAAGCTTTATTTCACCGTTAGGATCGACTAAAATATTTGCTCCTTTGATATCTCTGCGAGAAAAAAAAGATGACACGTAAGTACATATTTTTTATTACCAGAAGAAAAATAATAAAAATAAAGGGTAAATTACAGCCAGCTCCTGAGGTAAGGTCAAATTACGAAAAAAAACCTCGTGTTTGGGTAATTACAACCAACCCCTCAACTATGAATCTTCTTACACGTCCACCCTTATGGTGTCAGACTACACATAATCTTCAAGATTTCGTGGAATATTCTCTAGTATGTACTCGTTTTGTGCAAACATGCAGTTTCTAATACACCACAATCTGATATTTACAAAAAAAAAATTCAAAATGTGGAACTCGAATGGGGCTAGACGGGTACGAACTGGAGAATATCTACATAATTTAGAAGATTCCACTAAATTTAAAACTGCAAGGGTGGACGTGTAAGAAGAATCATAGCCGAGGGGTGATTGTAATTACCCAAATAGGAGGGGGGTTTTGTAATTTGACCTTACCTCAGAGGGTTGGCTGTAATTTACCCTAAAATAAAATAAAAAATGTCAGACCTGTGCACTGTATCTCGTCCGTGCAAATAAGCAAGTCCAGAAAGAATCTGACGCGTGTAATTTTGTATAACGGGCTCTCCAAACGCTCCATATTCTTGCAATAATTTGTGGATCGAACCACCCGAAACATACTCTAAATAAACCGATAATCTTTCTTCACTCTGTAAAACGGGTATTTTTGCTTAGATAGTTACTCGATAATGGATATATTATTAGCACAGTACTGGAATCGAACGAAGTGAAATTAACTCGTACCAGCTCACTTCCGTAATACTGAACAATGTTTGCATGCGAGAGTTGACTCAGCAAAGTTATCTCCTGTTGAAATTAACCGAAAATACGTCAAAATTTTAAAGATAATAATCAAAAGACGGAAGATTTAAATTTTTATCGTTGAGTAAGAGCACCTGGTTCAGCTGCTTGAGACTTTCTTTCGATGATCGATCGTCTGAGACGACTTTAACTTCTTTTATTGCACACATTTGCCCGTTTTCACTGCAAACCAAGAAACAAACTATAAATTGGCCCCAAAAAAGAAAAGGGTAAAGAAGTAAATTTGTACGGGCCAAGTTCACCAGTAATCCTTACTACCAACATATTAAGCCTCGTTTGAGGATTTAGGATAGGGCTTGATAGACAATACAATCAGATCTCGTTTAGGACTCGTTTGGGGATAAGGATAGGATAGACAATATAATCAAGGTGTATCAAATTTAAGGGCAAATTACGGCCACCCCCCCTGAGGTAAGGCCAAATTACTGAAAAACACCTCTTGATTGGGTAATTACAGCCAACCCCTTCCTTTTAAATATTTTTACATCAAAATTTATGTAATTCGGTTATTTACCGAACCAAATCGTATATTCATTTTGGTAAAAGGTATGAAATGTTGACGTACCGAAATTTCGGTTCGGTTTTACCGATATAACATCCCTAAATTTACCTCTGGAGGGGTATTTTCGTAAGATAATACATAGTTGAAGGGGTGGCTGCAATTACCCAAACATGAGGGGTGTTTTCGTAATTTGACCATAAGTCAAGGGGTTGGCCGTAATTTGCCCCAAATTTAATAAGCCTAATGGAACGATATTGAGTCGAACTTCAACCCCTATCGTAAACACGGAATATACTTCAACCCCTATCGTAAACACGGAATAATTACAA